TTTCGTGTCTGTCATCCTTCCCCCTGGCTTTGCAGTTTGCACATACCGCCTCTCTCTCCCTATTCCCACAGTTCTTAAACTCGTGGCCCTTTTCCACACAATGCCCACATACCATCTCCGATTTGCAGAAACGTTGGAGATGTCCGAAACCCTAGCATCTGTAGCACCTTTTCACGTCAATCAAGTCGTCAATTCTCAGTGACGACAACCCAATATATACCCTCCCAAACCTTGTAATCTCCCTTCTTACTCTCCCTGACACTTCCATAACATAATTTACCCCCTTTTCCCTTCTGCCCGTCTTGAACAATATTCTGGCCTCGTTCTTGAAGTCATGCGAACCTATCCCAACCCCTTGCTCAGTGTTTTTACCCCACAGCTGCTCCAATAATACCCCCTCGTTCATCTCTCTGTCCACATCATAGAGTATCACCTTAGGCCACACCATTGCTGGTTCCCGTATCGTTATGTCCTGACCCCCNACTCTTAACTTTTAATTATTTATGTATACATATATATAAAATTAATTAATTAATTATATACATATTTTTAAATGAATAGGTAATTTAGTTCCTAACATCGATTGTGATGTAAATACTCAACCCAAAAGAACAATAAAATGCGAAATTTGTCTTGGAAATAAGAAGAAGCATCACCATAATGATTTGAACGCGAGGAAATTTTTGAAGAATTATAAATGGAAGAAATCAGCTTGGGGGGCGGTAAGTTTTAACTCATTTAATTAAATTAATTACTAAAACTAATTACTAAATAAAAATGAAAGCAGCAACTAACTCCTTCTAACAATGAAATTCGCTTAAAAAAAATAAATGCGTTTTAGTGTTCGACAAATTGCGGAAAAGGAACCGAAATACGCAAAGTTTCCTGCCGGGATATTCACAGAGATGTAGCCGTAGTCGATTCGTATTGTTCAGGGACGAATAGAAAGCCGAAACACGCCCGAATTTGCGAACGTTACGACCCGGCTAGCTGTAAATTTACTTGGGTCGAAGGGTCGTGGTCGAAGGTACACTTTTTCGCTAATTATCAATACTTACTTATTAATTAATGTGATTAATTAGATTTTTAATGAATCAATTTTTCTGGGCATTATTTAGTGTTCGAAATCGTGTAATGAAGGCGTCAAACACCGAAACGTCACCTGTCATAATGTGACATCCGGAGAGGTCTCGCGCGATCCCGTTCACCCCGGGAGATGCGACGAATACGCCAAGCCTAAAGTTCAGGAGAAATGCTTGGAGAGGAAATGCGATGATAAATTTAAATGGGTTGCTGGAAATTATACTAAGGTAGGTATTTATACACTGTGATAATTAATTAACGTACCCGACTTCATCATTGCAACCACGTACGCAAATCGCGTATTGCAATATCAATACTGTGATATTGGTTGCATACTTGACGTCGGGTACGATAATTAATGAACACACTGTATTTATATTTTATTTTCTATACTATGTTGTATTCCCCACTATTACCACTTCATGATAATATCCATTTCGTAACCAATAAGAACGCTTGAAACCGTTGTAGCCATGGTAACTATCCCCTAATAATTCATTCAAGAGGATGATTACTTACTTATATACAGGGTGTCTCCCCGTTCAGTTGCATAACCTCGTAGGGTTATTCCAGTCAACATAGGTCCAATTCTCAACCATTTTTGAAATGATTCTACTATAATTAGCAGAAAGTGTTAAGTTTTAATGATTTTAATGACCAAACAATGCCGTAAACAAACAAAAAGCGATCATTAATTGATTAAAGCTTTCATAGTGTGCCGAACATCCGTCATGGGCAAACCACATCCTATTACGCACGTTCAAGGGGATATCTTCAAGAAGTATGGGAAACTGTTCTTCTAGGAATCTCCTGTAGATTTGGCTGGTGAAAGTTCCATCAAAGATTTTCGGTCCCAGGACAACATTTTCTATGATAATCGGTGCTGGAATCTACTTTCTGACAAAGCAATTGGGAGGAGATCCTGGTTCTTTAGGATCCACGAGTAAAATTCTTCTCGTTTTGCATAGTCTGCTGGTAAGAGATTTTGTACTTGTCGTATACGTGGTAAGGATGTAGCCCATTTTCACGCAAAGACCTGTGAATTGATGCTCTTTTCTGTCCCGTGGTGGCAACCATTCTTCTTATGCTAATTCTCCGATTCTCAGAAACTTCATGAAGAACAGCTTCAGTGTGGTTTCTTTGCGCAGGCTCTCGGTCATTAGTCTTTTTCGGAAAGGATCCTATTTGCTGGAGCGATCTGAAACAATTCATGATGATTGTCTGATAAGGATCGGGTAGCGTCCGTCCGGAATCCAATGACAAACATACTAAGAAACTGCCTCATTGACAACTGTCAAAAAGCCAACTTCTTATAATATGCAACTCAACGGGGAGACATCTTGTATAATGTGTTAATTAGAATAAAATAAATCAGAGCGGAAGCAATACGGGGCGATCTTCAGGACATAAGATAGAGGCAACAGAAATGACATCAACATTAGAGTTCATATCAGAGTGTTTCTAAGTTGATGCGAAAGATTTTAAAGGTGATTTTTCAGTAGAAATTAAGTTCTTCTCCTCTAAGTTACAGTTAGTTGTGCAAAATCTATTGAATCCTTCAATGGATTTAAGGCAAAAAATACAACCGGGCCAGATGGCATTCCTACAGTTAAAGACTGTGCACCTGCATTTCTACGACCACTGCAACATATTTTCAATCTAATTGTAAGGAAGTCTGAATTTCCGGAAACCTGGAAATTGAGCAGAATTTGTCCTGTTTTCAAAAAAGGTGATAGGTGCTGTGTGATGAACTACCGGCCAATAGCTATTATAAATAACTTCGCGAAGCTGTTTGAACAAATCGTAGCATACAAGATGGAATTCTACACCAAAGCACGAATGTCTGAACATCAACATGATTTCTGCAAAGGTAGATCCACAGCCACTAACCTGTTGAGTTTTACCGAATACGTATCTAGGGCACTAGATCGCCGTGGACAGGTGGATGTCATATACACGGATTTCTCACGTGCCTTCGATTGTTTAGACCTCTTCTTGTTGACGGAAAAGTTGGAGAAGTTTGGGTGTGATTGTTCTCTTATACGGCTTCTGTCATTCTATGTGTCAAATCGAAGACAATACGTCGAGTATTAAATCGAGAAAAATAAGCGTTACTAGTGGCGAACCTCAAGGATCCATACTTGGCCCTCTACTGTTCAATATTTTGGTGAATGACTTACCAATGAGCTTTAGCACGAATGCCCTATTGTACGCAGATGATCTGAAGTTGTTTACTACTATTGGTAGTGAACAGGATTGCATTTCACTTCAGTTGGACTTAAATAAACTCTATTCGTGGTGTACTACTAATAGATTGATTCTGAATACTTCCAAATGTCAGGTAATGACATATAGCCAGAAAGGTAACATCATCAATTTTGATTATGAACTTGGGACTGACTGCCTATCGCGCATTTCTTTGGTGAGGGATCTCGGTGTATGGTTCGACACTGGTTTGTCTTTCAATGTACATGTCCCCTCAGAACACTTGGATTTATAACGAGAAATAGTTTGAAATTTGCTCATATAAACACAATAATATAACTCTACTTTACACTCGTAAGAAGCAAACTTGAATATTGCTGTATTGTTTGGTCACCATCTTATTTAAGGTACATCACCACCATCGAGAGGGTACAACGTAAATTTGTTAGATTCATGCATTTCCTGGACTTTGGTCATTATTCGCCTCGAGGGGAATTGAACTATCCATATCTTTCACATCGTTATGGACTCCAGAGCCTTGAAGACAAAAGGAAGTGTATGTCAGCAAGATTTGTTTAGGATGTAATGTCGGGTGTGGTGGTTGCATCGGGTGCTTTGTCGCAATTGAATATAAAAGTTCCGAGGTTTGGTGCTCGCGACTTTAATGTTTTTACTACCAATCGCGGCCACACAAATATTGGACTAAATTCCCTATTCAACAAATTAATGCGAGCTGCTAATACGACCGAACAGTGATGGGCGCTGGGTAAATACCCGGCGGGTAGGTATTTAAAAAATGGGTATTTATCTGGGTATTTACTCCGGCCTAGAGTAAATACCCAAACAGTACATACAAAAGTGATACAAGTAAAAATATAACAGATTCGGACAAAAATGTAGAGGAACATGATGAAATGGGCGTTGAAGACGAAGAATTGTCAACGATCGAAGACGTATTATAATCAGGTAACCACTGCTCATTCTTCATTCTTGCGATGATGATCCGCCCAGTTCCACTTGAGCTTTGCCACAATGTTGACCGCATCATTTACGCCAGTTCTTCTTCGTAGGTCTTCATTTCGTATGTGGTCCCTCAGGGTTACACCCAGTATCGACCTCTCCATCTTCCTTTGCGTTACGTTGAGCCTCCTGGTAATGGCCACCGTTAATGTTAAAGTTTCGGAACCGTATATCATAACCAAAGGAGGAACCACGCATTGATTGACAGCCTTTCTTTTCAAATATACAGGAATATCGCCCATGAAAATGTCTCTAAGTTTCCTGTAGGCTGCCTTTGATTATTATCTCTTGATACACGAACCTCATGGCCAAGATATATGGCTGCGATGCGAACCAACTGAGATGAGTACTTTAAGAACAATAGTGGAAAAGACAAGAAAAGATAGAGTTAGGAACAAAATTGTAAGAGAATTTTGTGGATTCGGATATGTCATGAGATTTGCTAGGGGAGAAATAAAAAAATTTTATGAATACTTCCAAAGAATGGAAGAAACCTGGCTGATTAAGACAAAAGAGACCAAAGATTAGCTAGAAAGAGATCTCGGGAGACCAGGAAGTTGGATTTCCAGCTCTAATGAAACACAATGAATGATGCGTAAACAGGTTACAACCTGAATAAAAGAAGAAGAATAATAAGATCTTAAACGAACTACTTAATTTAAAATTGGAAATCAACAATCTCATGGAACTTGGAATCTTGGATTTGATGGAAGTGCAATATGACTAGAAAAGAATCAAACAACAAGAATTAATGAAGCATAAAAACTGAATTTAGTAATTAATATTAGACTTATACTCAATTCAGGACATTCAAAGTTGTTTTTCAAGCATTAAAGAAATCGTTAAATATTTTCGAAGAGTATTACGTAAACGAGAATGGTCGGTAGTGAAAATATAAACTTTCCCGAAATATATGTACACTTTAAAGCTAATAACACCAGGAATGTGTATAAATTTGTTAGACAGTTAAGACAAAGGCACAAATCGCACACAGCTCTATGCTGAGATGGAACAGGAAAAATAATATGTGATAGTGAAATGAATGACATTTGAAAAAATTATTTCCAAAACCTATTAAGCATAGAGAAACTGATTTGGAAACAGACAGCAGTCCGTCACACCATAGAAAGGATAGTGTCATGGCACCTATATCAATCAGTGAGGTTCAAAACGCAATCTCTGCGGCAAAATATGGAAAGGTATCAGAGATTAATAACATACCATCGAAAGTATTCTAGATGGAATATTCATCATCACCAATATTGATGTTACATCTTGGAACAAGATTTGTCCTAAATTTTGTTGATATTTAGCCCAACTCTTGCACACGCCTCCTGTATACGTTCAGCATCAGTCTCATCTCTCCAAGGATACCGAAATAAGGACCATATCGTCCGCGTAGCGCAAACTATTTAGGTATTGCCATCAATTTTTATACCTTTTTGAGTCCAATCCAGTTATTTAAATGCACTCTCCAGGACTGTGATAAACAATTTGGGTTCAACATTATATCGCCTTGCCTTACCTCACGCTCATTGTAGCATTCTTGTAAATGTTATAAATAAGTTTGATGTATCGATAATGGACTCTGTATTCTTGAAGTACTTGCAAAACTGCCATCAACTCAATTTAAATCAAATTTTATAAATACCTCTAAATACCCATCTTGGGTAAATACTACAGGGTATATATCCAGGGAATTTTCCCTTGAAAATAAATACCCGGGTATTTAACAACACTGCGACCGAATGTGTATCATTCTTTGATGTTTAACTTAGCAGTTTGTTAAATTGTTGTTATTTGATATTTCATTTTTCATTGAATATGTTTTCTTTCTTTTTCTTTTTGCTTGTATATACATATTTACTTCTTATTATGTCAATTAATGTACTTTCATAGGCTTAATTATGTTGTTTATAATATTATCTCCCTTTTTGGAAAATAAATTTCTGTTGGGATTTAGTATTATTATTATTAAAAAATGTTTTCAGTCCGTACGTTTGAAATTCTTTGATTGAAATTATTTGA